GTCCGTCCGTCGTCCGTCGTCTCGTCTCTCTCTCTCTCTCTCTCTCTCTCTCTCTCTCTCTCTCTCTCTCTCTCTCTCTCTCTCTCTCTCTCTCTCTCCCTTCCTCTCGTTCGCTCGCGCCTCGCCGTCTCCGTCGCTACCACCGCGCGAACCGCTCGGCTTCTCTCGCTCCCACCATCTCTCTCGGCGCGATGAATACGCCGCGCTGCGCGCGCGATTCGGTACGGAAGTGGGACGGGAGGGAGCGGAGTGGGACGAGGAGGAAGGAGAGAATCGTAAGGCCATAGCCACGGCCACCGAGTCGCACACGCTACGCACACACGCGAGCCACGCTTCACGTACACGCGTACACGTGACACACACACATACGCGAGCACGCGTGCGACCGTGTGCGGGTGCGCGACGCAGACACGAGCGTTCGATTCCGCGCATCGAAAATCACATATCGCCTACAGACCTACCGTTTTTCTCCTACCGTCTAATTATCTAACGCCGTTATCGTTATCCCAGCGAGATGCGAATTCACGACTGCCTCGCGACCAAGGCCGAATCTCGATATCCTTGATTATTCGATATCGATACGCTTCACATATCTCGATGTTGAAGATTGGGAAGAAGAAACATGTTCGCCGAGGAGGAAATCGCCTCGAAAATTGAATCGGTCGAGGAATCTATTTGTTACAGTTATTTGTTACAATAATTTGCGACAGTTTGAGGATACTCGGCACAATTAGTCGGTCTTATCGCAAAGTTCGTAATTAAATCGTAATGGTCTTACACTCATTCGCATTCATTTTTACGTGACGCTGATATATTTTCGTCGCGAAATCATGTCAGGAAGACGCGAGGGACAGTGCGTTTTCAGCGTATTCCACGTATGTAAAATGCGTTCTATATCCCGACGACTAAATAGAGATAACTTGCGCGCAAAGCACGCACACACAGCACACGCACGCACGCACGCACGCACGCACGCACGAACGCACGAACGCACGAGTGCAACGCGCAATCACGTAGCTTCGCGAGCTTGAGAATGCATTCGGCGACTAAGCGTAATACAAGAGAACGTGCCTGACATATGTTTTCGCCATCTAAATCATTGTTCTTTTTTTTTTTTTATTGACGACAACTTTCGACTCGGTCGCGTTTGTCCGAGCATCGAAAGTACCGTAAATCAGATTCTGAGACACGGGACTGCCCCAGATCAGTCGAGAAATATCTGAGAAATGGATTCTTCGGCAAATCTGAAAGTTGATTGTTTCGTTCGCTCCGTGTGATGACGTTCACAAACCGATTTAAAATACATACGTTCAAGTCTCACATCCTTCGCGCCTACGTTCTTTGCAGCAAACTAACAAATAGTTAATTACAGTTAAATATTTGGTCTGTTGGTAACAAACGCTACTTTGTAAACTCACGTCGAAATATGCAAATTCCTGTATATCGTTTACAAGTTTTTTTTTTTTCGTCGATACATTTTTCAATTTTCTCTTGAAACGTTTGGAAAACACTCGCAAGAAACACTCGGCGATTGTTTCGGCATTAGCGGGAAATTCTCGTGGCTATGCAGCGCGACGCTATCAACTCGTTATCACGTATCGCTAATAATACGATGCGTCTGTGAACGTTAGATTAAAGAGTAATTAATGATCGTTTGTAGTCACGCCGACGCGCATGACGTATGACGATTCGTCGATTTTTACCGGACACAATGTCTAATGCGCATTGCCTCTCTCGGGAGGATGGTTTTCATTTAAAAAGGGGGAGGAGGGGAGAATTCAGTTTGATTTGTCTCGAGATGAAAAGATAATCGTAACATGATATGAAAAAATGCGATGTTATTCATTTTTTAAAACAACGTGGAAATTGGAAAGTAAAATAAATAAAGTAAAATAAATATCCTATGTTTTACTTTCACTTGCCATTTATATGAATATATTAATATTTAAAGGTTTATATTAATAATTAAATTTAAACGGATACTTTTGACGGATATTTTTGACTAAATTAAAATTTATATTATTATGCTGTAAATTATTTTTGTAACGCAGGCAGCAACTATTTCTATAGAGAAACTTCTGCATTGAATAAAAAAGAATCGCCTGATAGTTTTTACGTAAAAGCCATTCAGATATAATTTAGAAAATTATTTCCGCTCCGTCCTATTAGTTGTCACTCATCGCCGTCTAACGATTGATCCGCCGTAGACTGAACTCTTATCTGTATATTGCCACATCATCACCAAGGCGGAATATCTCTGTTGTAAGAAGTCATATAAACCAATGCCAATCTGCTGAATGACGTTCACTTCCAATACCGTCATCCACTCGTGAAATCAGCAAAATCATTCTCGCCGATTTAGATATTTTAATGAAAACTGATATAATTTTTAACTTTTATTCGTAGATCTTTTAGTTTTATTCATCATAAAAATTTATCGCGTGCAATTTCGCGCACTGAGCCCGAGGTCGCTTCCTAAGACCTTAGGGCTGAGGGCGAAACGAGTGGTGATACTCGTTGTTTGGTCGGACAAACTGCCTCGACGCTATTAATGCAATGTTCACTGCGCAGGTGGCCGACGTGATTGCCACGGATTCGCGGAGCGGATTCGCGAGAGACTTTCTAACGAAAGTGCAAGTGTTTTCCTTCTTTCTCAACCGGCCGCGATTGCTGCGTAACCGTTCTCGTCTTGCGACTTTCGCACGTTTTCCGCAGTTTCCCGTCGAGGTCGTCGAACGCTTCCGGCTTGTTTGTCAACTGCGCTTCGATTTTTCGCGATCGCGTACGTTTCATCCATTAGATTTCTCGACGTTATGAACCTGTCGTGAAAAAAAAAAGATCTTTACGATCCTTACGTCTTGATCAAAATATTTTCGAAAAAACTCACAAATCTTTATAAGCAACAAAATAAAGCCTATTTCTTATCATTTACAGTATCATTTATTGTAAAATAAATAGAATTTTTATTTGCTCTCTAAATTTGAGTTTTTTTTTTTTAGTTTTTAATCGTTAATTGCTTGAAAATGTTAATGTCTTAGATTTTTAGATCTTAGATAGGATTATGAAGTATAAAGAGCAAGAATGAAGACAGCTTTGACAAAAGGAACAAAATTTTCTCAAGATCCTTATAGCTTACACATCTGAAGGATAAGTGTGTTCTTCCGAATGAATGTAAGGGGCGTTATATTCACTCTCTTTGAGTCCCGTATCGGCCTTCGTGATTTGAGGAATGGAGATTTCTAAGATCCGAACCAAAGTGAACACGAGAGCGAATGCCCGCGGCGTTTTAACCAAGGCCCAATAGTCGGCTTCACCGTGACATAAATATTCGGAGAGCGGGCCCCCTAAAGGGGGTCCGCTCTCAGACCCCGCCAAAAGAGCTGAACTTGAGAAGGCGTGAGAGAAAGGGAGAGGAGAGAGGCGGGAGAGGAGTACTCATAATCGCAATGCGCGACCCTGAAAGAGCGAATTTGCCGTCATCCTCGAGAGGTGAGACACTTCCTTTTGTCTATTTTTAAGAGCACACCATCAGCATCGCGATTGTCCGAACGCGGAATATAATCCATCACTCTCGTCGGTGACATAATCAAACCAAAGACGAGTACTACTAAGCGAAAATTTGAGACAGCGAAATTCATTGTTTGCTTGATAGACAAGTAATTTTAAAGATGAGAGTTTTCAAATTAAAAATAAGAGTCAAATTAGGCTAAAAATAATCCGTATATATCTATGCTTCTTTAATCTACATTTTTTATGTATTCCGAAATCCACAGTTTTAAATAATAATTTTTATTAAATATACGATACAAATATAAGTATATGTATTAAGATAATTAAAATATTTTTAATTAAATTATATTTTATGTGAAATAATTTAAATTTATAATCATAATTATTCTTTTTGTTAGCTGTATTCTATATTCAATCTTTAATAAAATTTGGTACCAACTATTAAAAAAAAATATCGAAAAAATACATGGCTATGGAATATAGATATCGAAAGGATTAACAGAAAATTTTATTATTTCCGGCACAAATATATTGTGTCTCTTCTTAATCATAACACTTTATTAACAAATATTAAAATTTGAATTAGCATGAATAAAATTGTTTGACAATACTAAACGATGATTTTATGTTCGATCGTATATGTATTCTATATATCAATAATAAAAATCTAGTAAACTGCAATGAATTCGCTCGTTATTCTCGCATGAAAGATTCATTGTCCAATACGAAAAAATAATGTGACCATTTTTTCTAGTACGAAAGCACGCGCAATTTAACTCCATCGTAAACTCGCGAGTTGTAAATTTGTAAATTACATTTGCCTATTTTAATGTGGAATAATCTAGTATCCTTTAGACAATCCTGTATGACTCAATGAAACATCTTCCGATTAAAAATAATTATAAAGTGTGATAAAACTTATCATAAAACTTAACAACAAAAAATTTTGTTTAAATATAAATTTAAACAAAACTTTAAAAATTAATAACATTTTAAATAACAATTTTTGCCGTTAATGTATAACGATGTATAATTAAACTGATAAATTCACTTGGAATTTTCCTTTTTTCTTTCAAAAAAAGCATAAATATAAATTTAAATCTAAATATATTAGCACAGACTAAATATTAGCGCTCGTTCGTAACATATTTACCTTTAAAACAAATTATCTACCTATGTAGAAAAAAAAATGTATGCAAAACATGACACTTAAGCCACTTCGCAGAAAACTTTTCAGATCTTTTTATCAACCTGTCGTATTTTAAACTCGACTGTAATTATTAGGATTCGCGATGACCGAACGACGAGCGTTTCTTTATTATCCTCTCGTCGTTTCGCGCGACGTGACACACGAAGCTGACGCATAGGGAATCGTGCGACCT